ACAAAGCCGGGACCCATCAAGGCAGCGGGTTCACCCTCGGAGCGCGCGGTGTCCGTGTACTGCTACAACTGCTCCCGCAAAGGGCACCTCGGATACGTAAGTCTGGGCACTCCCTGCCAGGGCTGCGCTCCCTGGGGTGGAAATCCATCCCTGCCACACTCTCTGATCTGTGTGTGGCTGGAGGAAAGAGCCGGAGGAGCCACACTGGTGTGTGGCACAAGAGGAGTGTGACCACACCTGGGGGAGGACAGTGAATAAAGGGATCTCACCCAGCCAGCTTAAAGATAGGGAGGCACTAACAGTTGCTTTCTCTCCTTGGGAGGTTCATTGATTTGAGGCTGCCTGGGAGAGAGAATATCCATTGGAAAACAGTTACTGAATACAGCTTTTTTCCCCCTTTCTTTTTTTTTCCCACATTCAACATTGCATCAGGATTTTCACCACACTCAGCCCAACTATTTGAGTGCTGTTTTGGGAATCTTCCATCTCTGCCTGCTTGTGATGATCCTTATTTGTAGTTTCCTAGTTTAGTTCAACATCTGACCTAAGTTTGGCATTGTCCTTCTGTGAGGTGCTGCCTGGTAAAAGAGGTGTCATGAGCCTTAAGTGGCTTTAATAAAACCAGGAGATGTGGCTGCATCTTCCAGGGAGTTTTGGTGATATTTATCACCTTTTTCGGTGCCTATCATAGTCCAGCTCTGTACCTGCAATTACCAACACAGAACTAATAATAGGGTTTTTTCTTTTATGGAATAAACGCAGGAGCCAAGACACAAATATTCTAGAAAATGAATGTTAATCATGCATTGGATGGGTTTAGCTTATTTTCTCCTGTGGCTTAGAAACAGCAAATTGCCAGCAAATTCCTCTCTTCCCTTCTGCCTGCTCTTGTGTGTCAGACCCTTCAACTATTGAGTATCTTTTGTTAAAAGCCTGGGCCTTTAGTTTAGCTGACTTTTATTAAACTGTCCAAAAAATTGCACTGGAGGAAGGCAGACATACATAGATACAAGTAAGGATGCTATAAAAGTAATGAGTAATTATTAGAGATGCTGTAGATTGATTGTTTAAGTCATTGTTAAGGCTCATGCAAAAATAATTAGAATTTATTTGTGAGGATCTGATAGTAAATATTTTGATTGAAACTGGTAGAAACTAGAAAATCAGAAAAGGAGGAAAGCAACTCGTGGACATTTTATATCCCTCGAAGTAAAGGAAGATAACTTTGATATTTGTAGTAGTGTACAAGGAGCAGAAACAGTCTGGGCAAAGACTGAGTGAAAGGGGATAAGCCAATAAACACGAGAGGACAGAGGTACCAGCAACTAACAGGCAATTTGCAAGGAGGATAAAGGGGAATAAAGCACCTGTCAATATCATGGTACCCAGATACAAGGCAGAATCATAGGAAGTGTTCCTGTTAGCCTGGCTCTCAAGACACGGATAAAACTATGTGCACAGGAGTGAAAAACATTCCTGCTCCAGGTGTTTGGGAAATAGGCTGGCATGCACATGATGCCAGAGTCAGCCCCTTCCTCGCCTCAGCTGTCTATTCAGAGCTCCCCTGCTCTTCTGTTTCCTCTTTCTGTTCCCTGCACCTGATGTGTTCACAGCAGCCTGCTGCAGGATTTGCCTGTGGTTTGTCCCCGAGAGGGAATGGCACACGGTGACACCACCCACCCTGGCCACTGGCAGGCTCTGGCTCCCCGTGGCTGCTGCCCTCTCTCCTTTGGCCTGCCACCCCTTTGCAGGGAGCCTCACCCAGCTGCCAGGGCTGCCCTGCCAGGGGTCAGACATGGGCACAGCAAGTGCTGGGGTTCTGCTCTCAGGGTCTGGGTGTTGGGATGAACCCAAGAGTGTAAAAGTCCTTGTTCTCCCAGCCTGTGGAGCCAACAGTCTGAAATGTGTAGGATTGGCTTCTCAAGGCTGTTTATTTTCCCTTCTCCAGAACATTCTTTCTCTGCCCTGATGAGCTCTGTCCAGCAGCTTGGCCATGGCATTCTGTCTGCCCTCAGGGTGGTGTTTGCATTTTATACCAAAAACTACCTGTGCCACGTTTACAATAACGTGCCAATATCTGTCATTTCTGTTGGACAGTGAGTCTGTCCTTAAACCTACAGAAAAGTGTCACCAGCACATTAAGACATGGAGGGCAAGAAGGAGAAGAAGGTCGGGACACACCTAAATTCCTCCATCTTGTCCCCTCAAACCCCATTCTAAAAAGCCCCAAATTTCTACTCTTTCACCCTGTGTTAATTCAAATACCACACTACTCAAACCCTTGTGGCTTGAAATTCCTCATACAGGGTTGGCAGCCTTCTCCACAGGCCAAAATCAAAGCCACAGGTGTTTTTGACTTCTTTCCAGGGTCTCCAAGACCCTGCCAGGGTCTGGAGCCAGCCAGGGCAGCCAGAGGGATGTGCTGGGCTCCGACATCCTGCCTGGCATCAGGACTGCCCTGTCCCTCTGCCCAATAGCTCTGTCAGCAACTCACCTGGTGTTTACCTGTCCTCACCTGGTCTTCATCGTGCATTCTGTGGGTGTTACAGAGTGTGGTAAGTGCAGGAGGATGGGGGATTCCTTCTGTGTGCTCAAACAGCACCCGTGTCTCAGTGTGTGCAGGAGGGATTACGAGCTGCTCATGAAAATGTCAATGCTGACCACATCCCCCACAGCACAGACCAGGACCTGCAGGACCTGGCCCATTTCACCTCCAGGAAATCACCACCCAGCCACCTCTAGTGACCTGAAATGTGTTTTGCAGGAGTGCTCAGAGAAGAGGATGCAGGGAAACATGTTCCCCACTTCTCCCTTCATCTACTACTACGACGATGAGTGCGACATCAAGAGGAGGGCCAACAGGTTAAAAAGAAAGGTGGCAGGTACAGTGTGTTTTGGGAGATCCCTCCCACCTTCCAGTTCTGTGTTTGTGCTTTTTAGAAACATTGTGGGATTATTTTCATGTGCTGGGAAAAGCTGCATGGATTTGAACAGGGGTAGCCTGGTGGTAGTAAAAGATTTGTGACTTAAGTCATCCGTGTCTATCATGGAAATTGAGTGTGTCAAAGTCACTCAGTGAGCATTGTCAGATGTTTTAATTCTGAAAAATCTGCTGACATTAAAAATGCCATGAAATAGGAGTAAGGGGATTAAATCACGATTTCTTAAGATTCTAGCCTGATGACAGGAAAAACCCACAATGAAAAAATCTGCCAGAGATAAATTTTTGTCTACCTTAATACAGAACAGAGGAGAGGTGTGATGTCTCAGGTGCCAAGTTTTAGGGTTTTCAGGTATTGAAATAATCCACTCTGCTTTCCAGACCTGCAGGAAGCCGGCCTTCTGCCGGAACCGTCTGAAACACCGCTTCAGGAGGAGCAGCTTGAGGTGCCCAGCCACAAGAAAAAGAGCAAGCTTTGGAAAGAACAACAGGGGAAGCCAAGCAGGAGCAGTGAGCAGCAAAAGAAGATGAAGGTGAAGCGGGCAAAGAAGGTCCAGGAGAAGCAGAGGAGGGATGCTGAAGTGCATGGCGAGGCGGAGGACTTCCCTCGGGGGCACAAGCAGCAGGGCTGCAAGGGCAGCAGGGCCCGACACAGGTCCCTCTTCCAGGCACTCTCAGGCAGCAAGGCCACCTGTGCTGAGCAGTCTCTAGAAGGTGCCAGAAGGAAGAAGAAATGGAAAAAGCAGAGAAATGCTAGTCCTGACAGCAGGGACAATCTATTCCTTATAAAACAGCGGAAGAAGTCCAAGCAGAAGTCCTGGTGATGGCAGATAGCACTGGCATTCTCTGGCTCTGGCCCTGCCTCCTCTTTGCTCCTGTCCCTCTCTTAGCACATGAATTTGAGACCATCCCTGACCCGGCACTTTGGGCACCATCACCCACCCTGTCCACCTCCACAGGCAGAGGGGACCACTCCATCTCTGAGAGCCACCCGTGGCAAGCAGGACCCAGAGCTCCTGCCAGGGCTGGTCTCAGAATATGCTGTATGCTTATTTTCTTTGCTTGGGGATGTGGGGCATGCTGGGTTTGGCAGGGTTTGTTTGTTCAGTGAGATGTGGCTGTGCTGTTGGAGCACAGCACCTTTGGGGCCAACGCCAGGGAGACTTGGGTCAGGGGTGGGTGGAATGGAATGCAGGAACGTGGGTATAAAGCACATCCCCTCAGCCACCAGTGTCCTCCAGAGAGCAGGAGGGCACTGGGCACTTCCCTGGAAGGGACAGACAAGTCTCTGCTTTGTGCTCGGGGATGCAGCAGTCCCACATCTCACTCTCCTCAGCCATCCATCCCCTGCCCTCAGGCCTCAGCTTTTGGGGATCCATCCTGTTCTTGCCAGCTGGTCAGCAGAGCAGGAATGAGCAGCTGGGCCTGGAATAGAGTTTACATCTCACACTAAATCTGTCCTTGTTCCTTTTGATGTGTTGGAGGAAAAAGGAGCGGAGTCTAAAGAACATACTTGGTTCCAGTCACACTGTGCTAAAATTTAATTTTTTTTAAAGACAGTTATTTTTGTACACTGGAATTCAGCATGTTGTTTTAAGGTTTGTAAGAGTAAAATGCTTTATCAAAGGACTAACGCAAATAAAACTTTACAGGAGAAATATTAAAAGAATGGGTTTGTTCCTCATTTCCTTGCATTCCAAACATAATTGAAAACAGCATCATATTCTCTTTCCTGACTGCATCACTACTGGCAAAAGTAAAGGAAAAAAGTAATGCATTTGTACTGCACTGTTGTGAAAAGGAAATTATCCATACCCTGCTGCTCCGTGACGTGCTCGGTGCTGTACCACTCTCAGCGAGCAGCTGATGGCAACAGCACAGTGTCACTGAGCTGCAGCTCCTCTCCTCCTGCAGCAGTCCCCTGTTAAAACTGGAGACACTCATACCCTGCAAGGGTATCTGGAAAGGGATATGGGCACCCAAGAAAAACTGAGGACTCTCATTATGCCAGTGTTATCCCATGCCAGTGCTCCCTAAATTCAGCAGGTGTTTGTGTAGCAAACTCAACAGTGAGAACACAGGTGTTCTGGTGACCATGTCATCCTGGTTCAGAGTATTTGTGATATACACCTGCAGAGTATTTGCAAGCTTAATGTCTAGCTTTGCTTCAGCATGTCTTTGGCAACAAAAATTACGTTTGGCTTAACTTCATTTTTTGCTTGATTGAAAAGTTCCTGATGATACTGAAAAGAAAATCAGTTTTAGCCCTACTGAAAAAAATATTAAGTCAATTCCACAGAAGAGACTTGTTTTTAACATGGAAACAGCTCTTTTCCCAGCTGCTGTGTTGTACATCCCTTTTTGATTTTGAGTTCTGTATTTCCTTTGAGCAGAAGTCACCACTGGCCTGCACAAACCTGGCAGACAGGGAGGAGGGTTGTTTTCAGTGGTTGCTTTGGTCATCTGTCCAGCTGGGCTGTCTGGAGGTGGGTGCATTCCCTGCACCTCAGAGAGGAGCGTGTCCATCTCTCGTGTGCAGCGCCCGAGGGTGGAGCAGGTCGGAGCTCTGAGTTCTCCCACCCCTCCCTGCCAGGTCCCCAGACCAGCGGGAGTCCCGGCCTTTCTCTGCTGCTCAGTGGCCTCAGGCAGGGATGTTTCACCATGGGCACTGCTGTGGGGTCGCTCCAAGCCTGCTGTGTGCTGTGGGCAGAGCCTGCCTGCCTTGGGCAGGTCCTGGCAGGCAGCTCAGGCACGGTGGCTCACACTGGTGGGACCACGGGAGGCTGGCTGCCCACTGTGGCTCCTGCTGTCACCTGCTGCCAGCACCAGCAGTGACCCGTGGTGGGTCTGCCCCTGGGCACTCTGAGTCCTGCAGGCACCCGCAGAGCCTTTGAGGAGGTCTGCAGCTTGTGATTACTTCCAGTGAGCAAAGGATGGAGGAAGCATGATTTTCAGGACCAGGGGAAGGGAAAAAGGGGAAGCAGCAACCCTGGCAGCCAACGGGATCTGGGTGAGGGAGCATCCTCCAGGCCCCAGGCAAGGTCCTGGCAGGTGGGCAGCAGTGTTGGTACTGGGGGTAAAGAAACAATATCCTGCAGTGGCACATCCAGCCTGGGGCACAGACGAGGGGTGAGTTTGGGTCCTGGCAGGGAATGACATCAACTCCAGGACTGACCAGTGTCAGGCTTGGCAGAAATCTGCACCCAGCAGGTCATTCAGGGGAGAATTGGCAGGTCTGGATAGTGCCATCAGTGAGGAAAGAGGGGCAGGGACAAGGCTGGCTTGTTGCTGGAAAACACTGGGTGAATCAGGTGTGACATAAACTGGTGCCTGCAGCTCTGGCTGGGACCACTTGGAGCAAAGCAGGTTGTGTCCCGCAGATGCTGTCACCAGCAACCAGTGCCACCCAGCACAGCCTGCAAGGCTTCTGTGGGCAGCTGATGGATCTTAGAGAGTTCAGCATGAGAATAAAGCTGCAGGAGATTGTTTATATTCAGTGAGGAGGAGAGGGCAAGGAAAATGGCAAAAAGGGGTGAATTTCCCAGCATCATCAATATCAGCACGTCAGGTGCTGTGAAAGGGCAGCGCTGTGCTGGAATCCTGCACCAGGCCCGGCACCTGGCACACTGAGCTGCTTCCATCGAGCTCTGCTTTATTCCATTAAACCACAGTGTTCTCAGCCTGTCACTCCTCCCGCCTGCTTGCCCCCTCCTTTAGAGAACTGTCAGTCCTTACTCCAGAGATGCCTGGGACTGAAAAACATGCTCATCCCAGGAGAGGACAGTGTCTGGAGGTCGCAGCTGATGTGCACTGGTGAGGCAGCAGGAGGAAACCTACATTGCGTGAATAAATAAAGGGCCGCAGCTCAGAGCCAGCACTGCAGAGGAGACAAGAGGGATGGATCAGAAGGTCAGAGTCTTGTTGGGTAATGGGGGCAGGTGTCCCAGGAGTGAAGAGGGGAGAAGGGAGTATTGGGCCCATCATTTGTTGCAGCCACTACACGGAGAGGTTGAGGAAAGGAGTGCTGTGATTTGAGGCATCTGTGTCCATGGCACACCTGTGGGAGGGAACTGGATGCGTCTTTGTGACATAGCACAGGTCTGGCTCTTCCTTGAAGTGCTCCTTCCCCTAAAGTCTGTCTCAAGCCATCAGTCTCTGCAATTTCTGTTCAGTCTGCAGGGCACATCACTCCACCACGCGTGTACTCGGCCACACCGTAGGCAACACCAGCAGCCCAGGGTGTGACACTGACCCAGGCGTGCCCAGGTTGGCCTCAGTCCCGCTGGCAGAATCACCCCACGTGCCACTGAGCAGCTGCTCCGGGGCGCTGAGCAGGCTGGGTTCACTCACCAGCCAGGATGGGCACTCCAGGCTGCACCTCCGAGGTGGGACCAGGGCTGGCAAGGGCACAGCAGGGTCAGTGACAGCCAACCGTGGCACCACAGGGCACAGCAGCCAGTAATTGCACTTTTTTTGCATTGCAAAATGATTATTAGCACCTCAGTTCATTATCAGAGCAAATTTAATTTTTCAATGTAAAGGAGTCAGTTGTATTTATAAAGGAAACACTGTTGATACAGCCGGAAAAAATTAATTCATGACAAATGTAAGGAAAACTAATAGTCTTTAACCAGGGCAATATTTGACTGTGTCTAATTGTGCTTTGCGAGGTTTGAAAAGTCTTGGCAGAAATTCTTGCAGAGGAATTTTGAACTTCTCCTGATGAAACTGCATTTAAACACTGGCTTTTTTTTTTTTTTTTTTAATTAACCTTGTGCCGGTCTGGTCAAATTATAGAAACACTGCTGTGGAAAGATGGTATTCTCTGGTGTATTTGTGCACTGGCAGGGGCATTGTGTGCATTTGGGAAGGTGCTGTCTAATCCAAATCCATTCAGACAGAAAACAAGGAGAGGGAGCAGAGGCAGCGCCAAGTGGCTGCAGGGAGCTGCCAGGCAGAGGTGCTCGTGGAGCCTTCAGGCAGGCTGCCCACAGCCAGAAGAGGAAGGCTCAGCAGGCACCGGGGGGCTGGGGATGGGGGAAGTTTCGGAGACACGTGTTCTTTATCTATTCACTGCCAAGAACACACGGACACAGGTAACCTTTGGAGCCATGAGCTGATTGCGCGTGGCCAGAGCAAGCCCAGCGCAAGAGGGACAAGCCCAGCTGAGGCTTCAGCTGTTTCCTGGTCGGGTCAGAGCTCCAGGGGCTGCTCCTGCGGGGCTCTCCGGAGGTGCCCACATCCCAGGCGTGCCCCAGCCCCGCTGTGGCACCGGCCGCCTCCTTTGTGTGGACAGGCTGCGGCTGCTCCAGCCGACAGCCGCAGGAGACCCGCGCCCTCCGTGTGCTGAACCCCGGCGGGGCACGGGCTGGGAACCCTGCCCTGCCTGAGCCGAGGGCTCCCGAGCCGCTGGCCCCAGCGCCTGCGGTCCCACCTGCGGTCCCGCTGCTGCGGGAAGGCAAACCGGAGCGTTCTGGTTTGGGAAGCGCCGGGCAGGACGGCCCCGGCTGCTTTCCCGGAGGGGTGCAGGGGTTGCAAAGGGGACACTGCCCCTGTAGTGCCCTCCCCCTCAGCCCTGCGGACAGCCCCAGCCTCTCGCCCTCCCACCGCACTCGGCTCTCCTCAGGACAGCTTGGAGACGCGCCATCCCCTCAACTCAGCTGCCAACTTGAAGCCAATTTGCATTGGATAATTATTTTCAATTAAGTGATAACAATCGTGTTCTGAACAGAAATAATCTTGTCCAAAGGCCAAACCGTTTATCCCGTCTCGGAGACGAGGCTGCCGCCCGGCGCGGCTCCGTTATCGCGGCGTGGGGGGCTCGGCGCGGCCCCGGGGCGCCCCGCTGCCCGCAGGCTGCTGCTCTCCTCGGGCAGGATGGAGGAGAGAGCTCCTGCTCTCCTCGGGATGGAGGGGAGAGCTCCTTTCTCCTCGGGATGGATGGAGCGGAGAGCTGCTGCTCTCCTCGGGAAGGATGGAGGGTGCCCCGAGGAGCCGGGACCGCCCGCGTGGCCCCGGTGCGGTGTCGGGGAGAGGAGCCGTTCTGGGGCGGAGCTGGGCCCCGCACGGCCCCGCTGCTCGGCGGGCACTGGCCAGGGCAGGGCCAGCCCGGCAGGGCCAGCCGGGGCAGCCGGGGCTGGCCGCAGCTCCTCCAGCCCCGCACAGGACACTCCAGCGGGCTGGCATCTCTGCTCAGCATCCTCCCGGGCGAGGAGCGCGGTCCCGCGGAAACCGCGGGCGTGCTCCGGCTCCGGGCGCGGGGCTGAGGCAGCGCCAGGCGCTGAGGGTCCCTCGGGCACGGGCAGGGTATCTGTGCGCTGGTGACAGCAGAGCTGTGAGCGCTGTGCTGGGAAGAGCGAGCGGCGCTGCTGCCGCGCCGGCCGGAGCCCCCCGGCCCCGGGGGGAAGGGGCGCCCCGGCCGGTCCGGCCGGAGCCGCGCTGGGCTGACTCCGCAGCCGGGAGGCTCTGCACAGCTCCGGCACGGGAGGGGAGCAGCGCTGCGGGCACTGCCGCCCTCAGAGGCTCCCTCCCAGCAGGACGGGCGCAGGGCTGGAGCAGCAGCCGGGCTCTGCCCGTCCCGGGGCTGCCCTGGTCCCCAGGGCGCTGCTGGCTGCCCTCAGAGCCACCAGAGCCGGCCCAGGACAGCGGCGGCCGGCTGGGC